ATCTCTAAAATTGCTCCTGTTGGTACCTGTCTGGCTTCAAGTCTTGGTTTTCATACTCTCTGCTGAAAGGGCACGCTGATATTTTGTTAGCCTTGAGTTATGAGATGGTCTGATGTCACAGTAAGACTTTTTCCAATGTTCTAGAGAAAATGCCAGCCCAGCACTGTGCAGCCAACCTAAAATGAAAAACCAGCCCTTGAGAGCTATCCTACAATGATATGGTACCATCTACTACTTTGCAAGCAGTCAGGAAAATGAAACCTAGCCCCAAAGAATGTCCACTCTAAACTAGATGGCTAATGCAAGGAAGAGGCTACAAATCGGGGAGAGGGCAGGGAGGGAAACCAGGAGATATACTGTAAAGGAACCAGCAGCAAGGTTTGGCAAGAGCCTGGATGTGTGGAGAGAGGTACTGAGGATGCAAATCTGGATGACCAAGAGGAGGTTTGAGTACTCAACTGTGTGAGAGTGAGATGGGAGAAAGAGGGCTGAGAGGGAAGAATGGCAGGTCAGGTTTGATAGAATACTGACATCTGGGGGGTGATGTTGCGGAGGCAGGGGCCAGGATAAGGGAGGAATTTCCCATGAAGCAGATTTGTATTCCGCATCCAAGGGGTTATCACACATGAATGTGAGTGGTGTTAAACTGCTCCCTTGCAGGGCCCTCCCCGGTAACATCTGACCTCACAGCCATAAGTTCCTTTTACAGAAAGGCAAATGCAGATGGAAAAACTGCTCACAAGCTTGAAAATGCCAGAGGTCATTTGGAGGGAAGAGAATTGAAGGACTCCATGCCCCATCTGTTGGGTTGACTTGTCACTTCCATGAAAAAAGTAGATCAGCGTGGTGCTGTGTGATGGCAGCCTCCTACGCTAACCATCCGATGTGTGGTGTGAGCACCCAGGAAGGAATCTGCTTCTCTACCCGTCGCGAGCAGGAGCTGAACGTCCCTCTACATGGACAGAATGCGAGATGGGATATCTCCATTAATTATAGTTCATCAGACTGAAGAAGGTGGTGGGGAAGAAAAGTAGCAACCTTTATATACACCCTTGAACAATGTGATACGCAAAGCACCTGAGATGTTTAGTGAGCCGCTATGCAAGGGAGTTGTGGTGGCCCACAGCGTGTGGAGCTTGTAGGTCCTGGGTGCCCATTTCTGCTCATCGCTCCCCATTTCTGAATATGTTGGGCACTTGAATAATCATCTCCATCTACACCTCTACCCGGGTGTATAACGCTGTCCTCGGGAGCCAAAAAATCTTATTGTGTTATAGGTGAAACCGCGTTATAGCGAACTTGCTTTGATCCAGCGGAGTGCGCAGCCCCACCCCCCCGGAGCATTGCTTTACCGCATTATAGCCGAATTCGTGTTATATTGGGTCGCGTTATATCAGGGTAGAGGTGTATATTGTGCTAATAGTGTGGTATCTAGGTGCCCATCCAATACATGTTGATTGGATTAGTTAGAGTAGTTATCAGTGGTTCAGAGTCATGCTGGAAGGGCATATAGAGTGGGATCCCGCAGGGATCAGTTCTGGATCTGGTTCTGTCCAATATCTTCATCAATGATTTAGATAATGATATACAGTTTGAGGATGATACCAAGCTGGGCGGGGTTGCAATTGCTTTGGAGGATAGGATTAAAATTCAAAATGATCTGGAGAAATGGTCCGAAGTAAATAGGATGAAATTCAATAAGGACAAATGCAAAGTACT